TCTGACCGGGCGGAGAAGGAAAAATACGGAACGCGGATTTTGCGGTTTTAGGTTATCTTATTTTATTATCTTTTTGCCCAAGTATCTTTTAATTAGGGATTAATATAAAACCTCCCTAATATCAGTATTAGGGTTAAGAGAGAGAGAGTGAGAGCCGTTCTTGAGAAATACAAGAATCATCTTTGTAATCTTTGCAGTTTATAGTGAAATCATTCGATCTCGGTGCCCGTGGACGTAGCTATCACATCGATAGTGAACCACGTAAATTCTTGGTGTTGTTCTTATTGTTTGCATTGAATTTCTTTATTGTTTTCTTGTTTGTTTTCGACCTTTGCTTCCGCTGTCGCACAACAAGTACTCTGTAATCTTTATTGTTTAGGGCTTATGCTTGATCTGTTTCGATCTAGTCCAATATCTTTATGGTTAGGTCAGATAAATTTCTTCTACTCCTAGAAATTAACATATAGTACTCACATGTGGGAAATTAAGAAGTATTTAAGCATGTATATGGGAGTAATTACCAGAGTTACCACAATTAAAAAGTATTTAAGCATGTATATGGGAGTAATTACCAGAGTTACCACTTAGGGCCTGTTCATATTTACTTATTTTCAGTTCAGTTCAGCTCCAATCAGTTCAGTTCAGCTCTAATCAGTTCAGTTCAATTCAGTTTTATGCATTTTAATTTTTCAGTTCGGTTCAGTTCAGTTCAGCTTCAATCAGTTCAGTTCAATTCAGTTCAACTCAATTCAGTAAATATGAACAGACCTTTACTTTATGATGATAAAATTTAGAGATTAGGATTTCTCAATCACTAAAAGTTTGTACGGAATAATTGATTTTTGCAAATCAACTTGATATTAACATATGACATATGGGCCCAATCCGGCGGCATTCAAGATTTTTATTTAAAAGGGCCATGTGCAATCTGGACCCTCTAGTGAGTCTAGTCCAATTGGCTGAGTTGATGGCTTGAATTGTAAACCATATGTGATTTGTTTATTTTTTATTTTTTACAATTTTCTTTGCATGAAGTATTCATTATCAATGTATATAAAATCATTTAAAAATTGATATTTTGAAATTATATTCAGAGACGAGTCATATAGAGTATTACAAATAAGCAATTGACAAGTATTTCAAAAACAAAAATTATATGTTATTGATGGTAATGTTGTTTTGATTAATCTAATTGTCTAAACGCTCAAATTTAGTCCTTCAAATATATGTTAAAGTGTTATGTTACTTGTAAATATGAAGTGGGAAGAGTGCTTTTCACATATACTTGTACGAGTATCTATTTTAAGAGATGGATTTCATTTCCATGGGACATTAGTATTTACAATTTCACATAGTGTAAAGAAAGTTTTTAAAGACTAGAGATCATACCCTTTTTTCAGAGATAATACGGAGTATTCTACTTGACATTTATAAATTGTGAACAAAATACTCGGTATGTTACATATGCGAACATATGAATAAAGATTAATCCAAATATATTTTACATGTCAAATTGCCAACATTGATTTTTATATATTGATAAAAGATATAATCAAAATAAATGTATGAATAATGCAAAAGTTAAATGAGTGCAATTATTACAAAACACAAGTATTACTCCGTATTATTACGCAGAATAAAACAAATACTAGTACTCCGTAACTAATACTTCCTCCGTTTTTTTAGTTGACACGTTTTGACTTTAAAACTATTCACATACTCCTCTTTGACCGTGTTTTGTGCTTTATCCGTAATGAAAAATATATTCATGCGGGTTGTTACATTCGTCACGATAAATATTTTCAAAATATCAACTTTTCATAATTTTTGATTACCGGTGACTATAGATGTTAATTGTTGAAGTTATACATTGACAAACGTGACTAAAGAAACATGTCAGAAAAAAAAAAACGGAGGAAGTAGTAATAGGAGTATTCCAATAAGCCTATGACTTGACACGTGTCTTTAGGTCACTTTCACTCTAGCTCACCCAAGAAATATAGACCATTGGAAAAAATAGAGTAGAATGTGAAGTAATGCGGTCCATCCGTTCATTCAAAATAAAGGCGTCCGTCTATTGTGCCAAAAGCGTTACATGCATCTTCACTTCTCAAAATAAAAGTTGGAGTATTTATTCCATACATTATTTTATACTACTATATATTTCGACCAACGAACAGAAGATGCACGTACGTTCTTCCGCAAATTTTACTTTTAGGAGCATCTATTGTATGACTATGACTGTCAACATCTCAACTTATTATAAGTTATGAGATGAATAAACCAACTATGATTTCCGATCTTTTAAATTCCAACATTTTACATTTCTGTTAGTGTTTCCCATAATTATGCTGGATTACTTTGTTAAAAATATCAAGTAACAAGGACTCATGGAGTACTAGGCTAAACTATCCTCGATTGCATAGTTGGACTTATTTTAAAGGTCTGATTACTTCAGCTAAATTTCAATTCAGCTCAGTTCAGTTCAAAGGCTAATTTCCTTCTTTCATAAAATATCTATTTTAGTTCAATTCAGTTCAGCTCAATTCAATAAATGTGAACATACCCTAAGTGATTGTACTATATACATCGAATAGTTACAAATTTATATTTATTGGACTTTATCATGATTACAAAAATGGAATTAAGGTAATCTGAACTAAATCCAATAAGGAAAAAAAAAATCCCCTAAATCCAATATTTATGACAACCAAAATTAAAACTAAATGAAAATCACTTTATTCTTTATATAACAACTAAAACTTCTCATTTTTAGCTAATTACTTCTCATTTTTAGCTAATTTACAAATCTACTCAATATATCAACAACAAAAAACATGCCTCTAATATATTATGTACAAAGTATCTCAATTAAAAAATAAAAAAGAGTAGACTTAATTTTAGCTAATTACTTATCTCCTTATCACAAAATGGAAAAGGAACACCGAGTGAGATCAAAGAAACTAACAGACTGAAATTTGCTACTTCGTAAAATAATACGGAAAAATAATTAGGAAAACAAAAGGATTATATGGCGTTAAAGTCAAATGTGGCATATTATTTTAATATTTATAGGCAAAACATCTAATTTTCTCCTTCTAACAACTTGGCCAATCAAATTCTTCAAAAGCCAAAGTTCTTGCAACCTGAGCATTTTATATCATGAATCTGTTTTTGGAACCAATGAATGAAGTATAAAAAGAATAATGAATCTCTTAGTTTATAATATAAATATAATATGAACATTAAAAGATAGACAACTAAACCTCTACTCACAACTTGCCGCGTATTGATATGTAAATTAAAATTTTAAAACCATTCTTAAAACCATTCTTCAATTATTAATTTTATAAATTTTACTGTAATAAATAAAATTTGAGACTAGTCTTCTGAGATTAGGACTTAGCATGAAAATACATTATTTTTGGGGGTTTATCAAGTGGTCCAAAACAAATCCGTTTTTATAAGTACGGTATATTTTCATGTTGAGATTCCTATAATAAAAAAGCAAACGAGACTACGCCTAAAATAAATAAATGATAAACAATTACAAAAATAAAAAATAAAGGGTTTTACGTTTCATATCCTATCAGGTTGAATTTATTCTGAATTAAATATTCCATTTATATAAAGTCTTTATTACATCCTTTTCCATTGGGAAAACATGGAAGAATAATGAGTACGGATTGCCTACTTATTTGGAAGAGTAATGTGTAAGTATGTATAATTTAGATCAAGCATCAATGTCAAATTATTACTTCCTATTTATTTCTTAATACATTTATAAATATGAATATGCTCTCAATGTCTTTTTTCGATTGATTCTTTTTCAATAAACTAATATTGTACATATTCATATTTGATATCCTTGATCAGAAGTATTACTAGTATTATGAATTCCCTAGGAAAAAAGAAATAGTTTATGATTCTATTTAAAATCTTAATCAATATAATTTGAGAAAATAATTGTTTTTGTTTGACTTTTATAGAGAGAAAGTGATGTTAAAATAATGAAATAAAGACATAAATAATAATCTATACTTGTCTTCAAAAAAAAAAAATCTACACTTGACTAATCTTACTACTTGTACCCAACTATTTGAATAATCCAAATTGTGTTATAATTTAGAATTACGAAACTTTAATATCTTCCGTTACTAAGATTGCTTCTTCCTAATCGAAAACTTAACATGATTCATATTGTTATTATGTCTCGATGGTGAAAGAGTAAGAGATAGCTTAGTTGGTTAAAGCTTCCTTTTCGATTTTAGGGGATCTAGAGATCGAGTCTCATCATTCGTTCTTATGACTATAAAAACACCAAAAAATAACACTACGGTTTAATTGTCATTAAACTCATGTATGATCTCATCTAATTTGAAATCAAATTAAAATAGCTAAGGTGTTTCATTATCCACACTCAAACAAAAACATACTTCACTCCTCCAAAATCGATATTGGTCAAACTTTAACTCATTTAACATACTTTACTCATCCCAACTCAATTTTAGTTAAACTATTCATCTATTTGTATCAAAATAATCAAATGAAATTTGTTAGATTCACATTTTAATTTGTAAATTGAATATATCAAAAGTCAGGCAAAAAGGGGAGAAAAACTCTTTGTTCATAGTTCTCTTGTAGCCAATTCCTTTGAAACATAAGGAGAATTATATCTTTTAATTGCTACTTGAAGTAACAATTTAATATTTTCTTTCTTGTCAAAAAAAAAATTCTTAAACATAGACTTAGTTACTCATTAATCAGAAAATCGCTACTTCAATGTGTACCGATAAACAAAGATTTTTATTATTTTTTTTCACTAATGATTAAATCAATAACATTAATTAGAGAATCCTCTTAAAAGTAAAACTATTAATTATTTATGGAGAATGATATAAAAGGGAACACAAATACACTAGGTCTTCTTTTTTTTTTTTTTTTTTTTTTTATTTGGCAGAGCACAAGGTCTACGAATGAGTTAGTGACTTGTGTCAACGAGTAAACATCTACATTCTAAACAAGATGATGAGTGCAAAATTATGAAATGATTAGATTCTAAAAAATTAATCAAAAATTGCAAGGAAGCCCTTGAATTAAGTACAAATTCTCAGGAAAAGGGTCTTGAAGTGATTTCAATGAAAAACCAGAGGTGAGAGATTCTGCGATTGCCTCGTCGAACTATTTGGCCTGGCTATGTCCTCACTTCTGCCCCCTCCACTCAATTTTCTTGCCATTTTCGTTTAAACAACCTTATTACTTTCTCTCTCTTCTTCTAGGGTTTTTTCGCCCCTTTTCTCATCGGCGATACTCTTCTCTTTCTCTCTCCTCTCGTTCGGTCGTCAGCATTCAATTTTTGTTTTCAATTCTGTTTCTTTTAGGGTGAAGATTGTTCATTTTACCCAGAAGTAGTAGGATTCCTTGCCTGATTGTCGGTAAGAATTGCTATTTAATTTAGCGTTTTATTGTAATTTTACTGTATGATTTATGATTTTTGTTTCTGGGTTTGCTTTAATTTTGGTTGATAGTGCTGTTTTGGTGCAATTCGTGTTTAGGGTTGTGTAAATTTGCGCTCTTTTTGGGGAATTGATTAGTGTATGTGTGTTTTCTTAATGCACTATGTCTTTAAATTGGGTTAATTTAATTGGGTGTCAGTTGAATTTGCGATCATTGAATGATTAGTTTTGGCAATTTGGATAATTTGTTTTAGGGTTTTGAGTAATATTGATTAATTTATGTGAATTTTTTGCTCAATTTGGATACTTGATGGGGAAATTTCATCTGGGTTGAATTGAATTTTTACAATTTGGGCTTTTTCTAGGGTGAATTTTGGCAATGATGGAAGGTAACAACCAGATTAATTGCAACAACAATAACAGTAGTAATAGCAATCGAGTTCCTTTAATGGATGATGGAGAGCTTGAATTTTCAAACCAAGAGCTCCTTTCTAGTGCAAACATTGGCGAGATTCCCAGTAGTGGATCAATGGATAGTTTCTTTGACGAACTACTGAGGGATACTCACGCTTGTACTCATACCCACACCTGTAATCCCCCCGGGCCTGATTTATCTCATACGCACACCTGTTTTCATGTGCACACAAAAATCTTGCCCCCTTCTAGTGAAGAGAAAAGTGGGAACAATGATGATTCTGCTGAATCCGGGGAACAGAAATCTAGGAAACGCGGGAGGGAGAGAGGGGGTAATAGAGAAGCTGTTCGCAAGTATCGGCAAAAGAAGAAAGCACATGCAGCCTCGTTGGAGGACGAGGTTGTGAAATTGAGGGCTTTGAACCAGCAATTGATAAAGAGATTACAGGGTCAGGCTGCATTGGAAGCTGAGATTGCCAGGCTTAAGTGTCTGCTTGTTGACATTAGGGGAAGAATTGAAGGGGAAATAGGCTCTTTTCCATACCAAAGGCCAGTCAAGAGTGGGGATATGTATCAGAATATTGCCAACAATAATAACTTTCCTGGTTCGTACATGATTCCATGCAATGCTCAGTGTGGTGATCAAATTTATTGTCTCCACCCTGGTGTCGATGGAAAACCTGGGGAAGGGGCAAACATAGATGCTCAGTGTGAGTATGAGAATTGCATGGCTAGCCTGGGATCTGCGCCAAAGGACCTTTTAAGTTGTGGCACAACAATGTAACATCCACTGGTGTTTCATCTGGTAATGCTAGGAGAAAAAGGTGATAAGTTTTTTTTTTTTTTAAATTTGTTGTCATTCTTATTGGATTGAATGTTTCTTTGCTTGAATCAAACTTTTAGCAAAGTCTTTGGTTTGATTCTATCATGCTTTTTATATCTTTAATTATGTATTAATAAGTACGGTGAAGATGTTAATTTCATGAATTCATTGCTTGGGTTTCCAATATTCATATTGTCATTTGATTTCTGCATCTCATATGTATGATGGACGATTCCCCATTTCCCCTAATATATCCTGATTTCTGCATCTCGTATGTATAATCAACTATTCCCCATTACCCCTGATTTATCCAACTCAGCCGTAAGAAGAAATTAGATTATGTACATCTACTGGTGTTGTATTGAGGCAAGTGTTTCCTGTTTGCACAATGATGTTTGTCTAATTGAAGTACATTTACTTATATCCTACTGACCAATTTATAGTGATATCAGATTTGGTGACCTGGTGTTTGTTATGTTTGCCCTCCTTTATTATGTTTGATGCTGTGCTTTGTGTAAATTGTGATACTTTGTGCAGAATTCAGCAAAAGTACTTTCGTAATGTAATAGCTGTGCTGCTGCTGATTTAGCAGTTTGAAATGGTTAATGTGTGAAAGTTGCCATTAGAATAAATTATCTTGTAATGCAGCCTAAATGGTGCTGATAGGATGAAATAATATGCAAATACAAGAATTGTTGTTTTAAGTGTGTGTTTACTTGGCATAATGGCATTTACCAAACTACCAACCGGGGTTGGGGAGTTTTTTTTTTGGAGGCGGGGGGGGGGGGGGGGGGGGGGGGGGGGGGGGGGGGGGGGGGGGGGGGGGGGGGGGGGGGGGTGGGGCGCATAGAAAAATATCCAAGCAAGAATTCCTTTCCTCTTTCACCTATAAAACTGTTTTTGTTTTCCTTTACAAATTTATTCCTCTCCACTATTATCTTGCTTCTAATTTCTGATCTCAGTCTCTCCATTTTCTTACCAGTTCACTTGTGATTGGTCATTGGATTATTATATTGATATGCATGTTAATCGTGTTGCACTCTTCATACACATATTTGAGGTTGAACTTCTTCTGAGACTTGTGACACACAAGTGTATTTTATGGTTTCTTATACCAAGCTCTTGGCAGAGAATCTTGTTGCACTCTTCATTCACATATTTGAGGTTGAACTTCCTTTGAAACTTGTGACACACAAGTGTATATTATGGTTTCTTATACCTAGCTCTTGGCAGAGAAGTGTGTCCAATATGCTGAAAATGAGTGGGATGGGTGTCAACTTCTGGATATATTGAAGGATCATACATTGATACTATTGTGCATGAATGGAGTGTTGGAAATGGCCATATAGGTTTGACATTGGGGCAGCCAGGGAAATTGAGTTGTTTGAAGTAGCAAACCCTAGTGTTAGGTTTTTGATGATTGAATGTCTTTAGTAAGGAGGACTTAACAATTGGATATGATGAACTTATTGGACTCATGATGGATTTTGGGAATAAGCATTTTATTTAGAATTTCTAAATGAGGAGCTAGTGACTTATTGATGGCTTAAGAGCTATAGAGCATAGGCAAGGCCGCAAGGGTTACTGGCTTGACAAACAATTTTTTGGGCATTGGTATATCGTTTTCTCTCTTCCATAAAAGGATGACCAAGAATTTCACGGTTTCCTTACTCTCTCTCTTCCATGTACTTGTTTCAGCTTTCAATGATCTAACTTTTGACAATTTCTATTGTCCCAAATTAATCATTATATCGCTCCTGTCGTTCATCATGATTTACTTAAAATATTCTGAATATTAGCTATCTTCTTTTCAGATTCTTTCCATTACTCCTTTTATGAGGGTGTATGTTTGGGAAACTGATCATACTCTTCTTTTCTAGGAAGCGTGTGTGAATTCCCAAAATAGTGTAACTGATTGTTAATTCTGGATGAAGTTTTTTTTTTTTTTTTTTTTTTTTTTTGGGGGGGGGGGGGGGGGGGGTTGTTCTCACTCTTTTTAAGTTGGTATTAACGTTTGGTCGCCATTTGTATGGACTTAATAGACTTCAGTTGGAGCAGGTACATTGAAAACTGAAAAATAGTTCTGAGAACTAAAGCTGTTTATTCTTGGTTGCTTATATTGTGTATTATATATCTCACACGTTTTTCTCTCCTCTTATCCTCTAAATCTGTAAGCTTGTTGGCTTTACTTCTGAATACTTGTTGCTCCTGTGTTTAGTTTATAACTTAGATTTAATAGCCTTTAAATGTGGGGTGTGGAATGAAGGGTGGCTGAACAGTGGTTACTGATATTTGCTTGATGCTATTCACTGAGATGATTGTATTACTATTGTATGTGTTCTCATTTGATTCGGATTCTTGTATTGACAACTGGAGATATAATATCTTAGGATTGCTGCATGCAGGATTCTTTTCATGCTTTTTATTAGGGTACCATGTATCTTATCATGTTAATTGTTTTAATGGCATTGTTTGCTGCTGTCTAGTGTCTACTATTGATTTATAAATTATGATTTTTGCAGAGGCTAACATGAATTGCTCTGTTCATTTTACAGCTAATCATGCCGCACTTGCAAGCTATTTGGTTACTGTTGATGCCAAGGAGATGTGAAGTCGAGACATGTATCTTATGAAAGCACGCGTTGGTGAGCGAGGAATGCTTTCATTGCTCAATAGAGTTCTATATTTAGCTCACTCTTGTTCTCTGATTATCCTCTTTTCTTCTGTTCATGTGGATCTATCTTCTGCACTATGTTCTTTTGTTTCGTGGAGTTGTTTATCCACCCTTTTTTGTAATCTTAGAACATACTTATGCTTAGGACTTGTAGATGCTGGTTCGTTCAGTTTTTTTCTTTTTTTTTTTTTCTTTTGATAATATCTTTATGTCTTCCGTGAATAATATGTTTGTATGACTTGAGATTAGAACTTATAATCTATCAAGAAGTTCCAAGATTTTCATCCTTTTGTGACCTATAGGTTTTGCGATTACCTTGAATGTGCAAAGATCACATTTTGGCGAAAGGTTTGCAGCTTGATAAATTTGAGTGAATCCGAGTTTCTAGTTTGAAAGTTGATGCCTGGGCTCTGTCCCATGCTCGAAAAAAGTCACGACATTACTTGCTAGATTTGGGTTCAATCTGTCTCTCATCACGAAGCTTAATACATATGACATGGTGGCATGGTGCTACCCTGTCACGTTTCAACTTAAAATAAATGGATGTCACAAACAATATTATTTTGCACTGTAAAAAAAAAACAGGGTATTTTGCCTTTTTTGGGTTTTCCCCATCCGCAATTATTTCAATCTTATTGCCTAAAGCTAAAAGGCAAGTTCACAAGATAAGTGTGAAATGTCGAGAATATTACTACTGTGATTGAGGGCAACACTATATTCTCTCATCTTCTTTATCTAGCACATATGATCAGGGATAAAATATTCGTTGGAACTTTTGGAGTATACAATTCATAGCTAGAACTGCATTAGTAAATTGACCTTTGTTATAGCATACAGTAAATCTGATGAGCTTAGACTTGTGGCGCAATGAGTTTAACTACTTTGTATAGAGATTTGAGAAACGACTCTTAAACTTGGTAACCATCACCACTGATTGATACAATACTATCTGAAAAACACTGTCAAACTAACATTAATAAGTTAATATCCTTCTGAAAATTTGTAACTAGTCTAAGACAAGCTGAGGATTACAAAAGCTCAAGGGAGCTCATTCAGCTGGTATATCATCCTCATCACGGTATATACTCTCAGCCATTTGCCAAATTTGTACTGTGTTGTCGTCCGCCACACTTGAGATCATCCATGGTTCATTTTTGTTCCAAGAGAAGTCTGATATTTTAGCCTTGTGTCCTCCGTGAGAGAAAAGGAGTTCTGGAGGCCCGTCCTGTGCTTCTCCTTCCAACTGCTCATCACCAACTCTGTAAAACATAATTCCATAAAAAGTAAATAGATTGATTCTCAGTTGATAATCTGACATTTAAAGGAAAACAGTTTTGAGGAATCAACTTAAAACTGTTGAATGGTGTTATGCTTTTTTCTGAACAGTTCTACAGTTGATTTCATATATCAGTCTCTTATTAATCCACAAACTGGTTTCAAAAGGTGAAATGCAAACACATAAGATTGTACCTGTTAAGGTCCCAAACCATTAGCCTTCTGTCATCAGAAGATGATGCCAATATGGTCTCGTGATTGGGATCCCATTCAACCTGGAAAACTTCTTCACTGCAAATACAATGGAAGATATATATTAGTAAAATCCCAAGCCTATTGATAATTTGTCAATTAACAGGGCATAAATTTGAATTCCAAACATAGCTATTCAATAGACAATGAAAATCACTGCTGGGACTTGATCATACGTGTGACTAGACAAAGCATGCAAGGGTGTATCTAGCTTCCGAATATCAAATAGTCCGATGGTGGTATCAGAAGAAGCTGTCGCCACAATCCATTCGTTGAATGAGTTGAAAGATAGATAATTGACCTGGAGAAAAACAAACGGTTTATTGTACATCAAAGGGATACAACAATAAAATAGTGGTCTATATCTCCCAAATAATTGTGTAAATATCATGAAAGCTTACAAATTTGAGATATTCAGGTCAAGATTCCACAAGGATACCAACGGGGGGAAGGGGAATGAGCAGAATCTATCCTATACAGATAACATTATTGATAAACTTCTCTAAAACAGTGTCACATTCCAATAAACCAAGTAGTTAACATATGGAGTACATGCTAATATGCTATAGTTATATTACATTTGCTATAACATACCCTCAAGGCTTCAAGGTAATGCATGAAATAATCCTCTTCTTCCAAGAACAACAATAAACATGAGTAAAATGCAATCTAAGGACACAAGGAGAAGATAGGAGACTAGGCATAATACACATTACGTTTACAAACCCAACTGACATATTGCAACCATTTTGAAATCAAAGCACCAATTCCACCTTTGTTCTCTCTCTGTGTTTGTTTGTACGTGCGTGCACCTAAAACATAGCTAAACTCCAAGGAAAAGGGTTATTGAAGTATACCTCTTTTTCATGAGCTATAACAGACTGTTGGGGCTTATCAGAGCGCAGATCCCAGATCATCAACCTTGCATCGTCACCCACCGAACCAAACAAGTTTTCATTCTTTGGATGCCAAGCCACATGCTCAACTATATTCTCATGGGCCTAAAAATGTAATTAACAATAGATAAATCGCAATTCTTCTTATCACTAACTCAGCTACAAAAATCACACAAAAACAGGCTAACACATGAATTACCTTATAAACATTCATGGAATCAAGAACTTTACTTTGAGGCATGGAGGACACATCCCACAAACAAATCTTGCAATCATGGGAACCACTCAACAAATAGCCCTCCTTTAAAGGACTCCATGAAAGCCCATAACCTTCCTTCTCATGACCCCTCAATCTCACCTCAGGATCACACACATTCGAGTTCGCTTCCTTAGCAACATCAAAAACATAAACCTCCAAACCACTCGTTTTCGCCGCAACAAGATTAGGCTTTTGTGGCATAAACCCAGCTCGATTCACCTCCCCATCAACACAAAACATCTTCACAATCTCCACCTAACAAAAAAACCCAAAAAAATCAAAACAACATTCACTCACGCATTTCATCAAACACTTGGTGGGCATAACTTTTTTCTTACCTTCGGAGCAGAGGAACAAGGGCCATTGTTGGGGGGAAGGTGAACATCAGCAACCATGAGATAATTAGGGGAATCATCGGAAGTGTGGGTCCCAAGGATAAGTTGATGAACGGCAAGAGATGAATCTGGGTTGATCTGGGGTGATGATGGAAGCCATTGAACGGTGAGAGATGGCCATTCCAAGGGATGACAAACGACGAGATCGTATAGAATTGGGGTATTCTTCTTCCAAACTGCAAATTCTTCGTTTAATTGTGCTTCAGTCATCTCAACTTCATCTTCTTCGCCCATTTTTCCTGCTTTCTCTCTCCTCTTTTTCTCTCTCTGTATGTTTTTGATAATTTTCCCGCCGAAAATGGAAGCACTTACCTGGGTTTAATTAAGGAGGGAAAGTAGGGTTTTCCCGCCGAAAAAGATTGGCATATACTCATGAATGACTTGGCCCAAATGTGGAAAATGGGTCAAGTACTTTTTTTTTTTTTTTTGAGGAATTATTTTTACAATTATACAACTTATTTTGATCAATTGAGTATATATATACGGAATAAAATGTGAGTACGTCAATTGTTATTGAATTTGTCTTGATATTATGCATAACTGAATTCTACAAATAGGAGCTGAACTGAATTGAATAGAGCTCAAATGAATATTTAAAGAGAGAAGAAAATTAGGAATTGAACTAATTAGAGCCTTCAATTTTGGAAATTTTTGACATTTTTTCGCCCGCAAACAAAAATTGCAGAAATGTTTACCATGATCCCTAATATCCTCTGGGGTCCAATTGGGTGGGTAGAACCATCAAATTTGCCTTTAAACGACCAATTTACAACTTGCACCGATTTCATTTATACAAGTCTACCACGAACATTTAAGACAACATATAATAATCATATATGGTTCCAAACGGCATTATATGACCCCGAGATATATCTCTTAAAATCTCAAACATTTTCGACACCTAGCCCAAAACCTCCAAAATTTGCTAAAAAAGCGTGGATACTAGTCTTCAATTTTGGAATTTTTTGGCAATTTTTTCGTCCGGAAAAAAAAAATTACCGAAATGTTTACCATAATCCCTAATACCCTCCGATAGTCCAATTGGGTGGGTGTATCCATCCAATTTGCCTCTAAACAACCAATTTACCGGTTTACAACTTGCACCGATTTTATTAACTCAAGCCCACCACGAACATGTATGACAACAAATAATGATTATAAATGGTTCCAAACGACATTATGTGACCCCGAGATATATTCCTTAAAATATCAAGTCTTTCCGACACCGGGTCCCGAAACCTCAAAAAATTATTCAAAAAGCATGGATATTAACCTTCAATTTTGGAATTTTTTTTACTTTTTTTCGTCCGAAAATAAAAATTGCCGAAATGTTTACCATGGTCCCTAATACCGTCTAAGAGTCCCATTGGGTGGTTGGAACAATCCAATTTGCCTTTAAACGACCAATTTACTAGTTTACAACTTGCACCAATTTCATTAATTCAAGCTACCACGAACATGTATGACAAGAAATAATGATCATATATGGTTCCAAACAATATTATATGACCCCGAGATATATCCCCTAAAATTTCAATACTTTTCGACACCGGGCCCAAAACCTTCAATATTTCTCAAAATACGTGGATATTAGTCTTCAATTTTGAAATTTTTTGACTTTTTCGCCCATAAATAAAAAGTTGCCGAAATGTTTACCATGGTTACTAATACCCTCCGGGAGTCCAATTGGGTTGGTGGAACCATCCAATTTGCCTTTAAATGACCAATTTAATTACCGATTTACAACTTGCACGGATTTCATTAACTCAAGCCTACTACGAATATTTATGACAACATATAATGATCATATATAGTCCCAAACATCATTATACGACCCCGAGAGATGTATCCCTAAGAATATTAATACTTTTCTACATCGGTACTTGAAACCTCCAAAATTTCTCACAAAGCATGGATATAAGCCTTTAATTTTGAATTTTTTTGATTTTTTTCGCCCGGAAATAAAATTGTCGAAATGTATACCATGATCCCTAATACCCTTTGGGAGTCTAATTGGGTGGGTGGAACCATCCAATTTGCCTTTAAAGAACCAATATACCGGTTTACAACTTGCTCCAATTTCATTAATTCAAGCTGTTTTGGGTATTTTTGTCCCTCGTGAGAGTTACAATACAAAGACTGGTCCAGTGCGGCTTATACCTACAAAACAAACGGAGACACCGGTTGGGTGGTGCTCCGCCTCCGACGAACAAGTTAG